TATTCTATTCTATTCTATTCTATTCTATTCTATTCTATTCTATTCTATTTTATTCTATTCATCCCATTCTAATTGGAAAACTAACATGAAGACCCTCCACTTTTTGGACAAATGAGTTCCACAACTCAGTTTTTTGGCTTCTTTTGTTTTCAAGTTTCATTTTCTTTCTTAAAATTGTCCATCCCGTAATTTTTTGCTCATAAAAGTAAGAAATGTCTCCCTCAGGGAAACTCCTGTTCCAAGCTCTGATAGCAACGTTTCTGTCTTTTAAAAAAAAACAACAACATGGAATTACAAGCCGTGATTGTTTTCTGTGCCTCTTCAGAGAAACAGAAAGAATTGGGATTATGACTCAGAGGGACAAGTTTACAAATGGGGGATATTTTCGCTGCCAGGTGCTGTATGTAGCATGTCAAGGCGCCTAGGACCATGATGATTGGGTCATATTGGTAGGATCAGATTTTTTAAATTTTATTTGAGAGAGAGAGAGAGACTTTTAGTTTTCAGTTGCCACGATGTAAAAAAGATGTTGAGACTCTAGAAAGAATGCAGAGAAGAGCAACAAAGATGATTAGGGAACTGGAGGCTAAAATAGTTGCTGGAATTGGATATATCTTATTTAATGAAAAAAAGGATTAGGGGTGACATGATAGCAGGGGTTGACACAAAGAAGAGGGAGTCAAGCTATTCTCCAAAGCACCTGAGGGTAGGACAAGAAGCAATGGGTGGAAACTAATCAAGGAGAAAAGCAACCTAGAACTTTCCTGACAGAACAATTAATCAGTGGAACAACTTGCCTCCAGAAGTTGTGAATGCTCCAACACTAAAAGTTTTTAAGAAGATGTCGGATGACCACTTGTCTGAAATGGGATAGGGTTTCCTGCCTAGGCAGGGGGTTGGACTAGAAGACCTTCAGATTTCCTTCCAACTTGGTTATTTTGTTCTGTTCAGTTGTTTTGGGTTTTTCCCCCAACTTGGTTAAGCCTCTTCTAGGGCTTTTACTGTAGCTCAGTATACCTTATCTTTAACTGATAGGAAACCATGACAACTGGATTCTGGAGGTGTAAATCTCAGGGATGAGGCCTTGAGTTGCCCATCTCTGCCTTGCAGCAGAGTTATACAAAACTTAACCTTCTGGAAGTCACTTAACTACTACTCACAGCAAGCAGGCAAATCTGTGAGGAATGGTGGGAGAAGTAGTTCACTGACACTTGCAATTTTTCTTTTTCTTTCCTGAATTTCTACTAATACTATCCAGGCCAGCAGAATTGTGTGGAGAGAGAAACCCGATTCTTCACCTGTTATAAAACCTTCAGTTCTCATCAAATGGACAGGAGGGAGTTAGTCAAGTCATATAATTTCCTACCCCTTCTCTACAGCAGCACTTGATATTTCAACATTATTAATCCCTGTGTTTGCATATACTGTATCCCTACTTCTCCATACTGACCACCCTGGCTGGGGAAGATGGAAATGTATTCTAGTTTACCCAGATGGTGTACGAGAAGGGCAGGAAGAGCCAGGTGGTGGAGTCAAGAATGGAATCAGCCTAGAGTCATTACGCCCCCCCCCCCCTCAGCTATTGCTTACCTGACAGTTTGATCAGACAACCAGCCAGCATCGCATTGGTCAAAGCCATCATCATAGGCAGCCTGGAGCTGTTCAGGAGTTGCAATCACTGCGCTGTTCTGGATGCATGCCTGCTTTGCCTTCTCAAAGTTCAACGTGTAGCGAGTAGAGATGGCTCTGTAATGGAACACGATCCCTGGAAAACACATTGGTTTAGTTCACACCACAGGCTTCACTTGGCTGCTGAACTTACCCACTTTCTGAATTGCTGCAATATTTTGATGCCTAGCTTAATGAAAGGGTTGAGTATCTACAAGGTGCTAGTCCCCCTCAAAAGCAGCCAAACTTTGTATGATGTGTGCTTGTAGTTTGAGCCATTCCTATCCACAGAGGTTAATGACAAAATGTAAAACCATTTTTGAATAAAAATGGGTCAATGCCATCTTCCTATGAGAAAAATGGGCCCTGCCATCTTCCTATGAGAAAAATGTGATCTTCATTTCGCACATCAAGTTTGACATTTAACACCCCACAAAAAAAAAGAATGAATATTTCTGGCTTCGCTCAATGACAAAGAGCATGGTAACCTCCGAAGTCAAAGGAAGTGAAACACACTGAAATTTCATGCCATTTATACTGAAAGCAATCACTTTCTCCTTTCTCTGTGCCTATGGTGTCGTTATGCTAATCCCTTTTGGACTCATCAATATCAATATAATATGTAGTAGCAGAGAGGGTGGAGTTTGCCAAAACAGACCATTCCCAGATAGAGACCCAGATCAAGGGAATATGCAATCCCAAGATGGATGCGGGAGGGGAAAGAACTTCAGAGTAATTACACTCTAGAATCTTTCAGGTTGTTTCTAGTAGCTTAGAAGGTTATACTTAAATTTGATGTCAGGGCCAAGGCAAGAGATGAGAGAGTCATATCCAATTGAATCCAATCCTTACACCCAATAGACAGAATCTTGCCAAACAAAAGGTATAACCTTCTAACCTTCATCATAAACAGTACATTAGTAATGCTTTTAGATTTATGTTTGCTTCTTTGACACATACAAATGAATACATGTTCAGTGTAAACAGACTCAATGCAGAGATCTAAGAAATTGATCATACTTAGATCTCTGTATAACTCATTGTTCTGTGTACTATCTCATTCCCACCCATCCATTCAGGCTTCTTAGCAGAATATTTTATCATGCTGGATCAGAGAATATTGTATGTTTTTTCCTGAAGCTCATCTGTAGTCCTTTTATTATCACTAAAGCACAACACATAACTATTGCCAACTTTTACACGTTCACCCAGAGCAATCTAAATGACACTAGTTCATATTTTCTGACATACAATTTAGCCTTCTGATTCATAATTAAACATATACTTTCATCAAAATAAATGAGGACCAGTAAGAATAAAAATGGAGGTACCAATAAAGAGGAATATTTGTAGCCCAGGAATGAAATGAGAGGTCCTTGGTGCTCTCTGAGCTTGGTTGTTTTCTTGCAAATGTTTCATTACCCAAACAAGATAACCAAGCTCAGAGATCATCAAGGACCCTTCATAAAAACGGAAGAGAAAATTGTAGCACCCGCCTCAATCAAAACTTGGCTCCAAAGCAGTAAAGAAGATTTTCTTTTTCACTGTTGTGGTCCACCAGCGGCCAACAGAGCTGGCAGCAGATTTGGACAGTGAGGAGGTTGGGGAAGAACATGGGCCAATCCTAGAGTCTGGAGAAGGCTCTGACGAGGGCTCTGT